AGAATAATTTACCATGCTACCTGCAGAGTCCCACTGTTATGCCTTGTATTGCTGCAAAATGTTCATCCTCATAGTCAAGGTATGACCCTTGAAGAATTAATTTGAGCCAGAGGGTACACAGCCATTTAATTCTAAAAGAATGATTTCTACTCCTGAGTCTGGATAGTGTGAAATTCTCTTACGGTCTTGGAGCCAAGGCAAACACCTTGATACAAAATCTAGACCTGCAGATCTCTTATGTATTTAAGTGACAAGAGCAAGTGCTGCTCAGTCACATACTGTGCTGTGCTGTGTTAACCTGTAGCAGTGGTAGTCTCATCTGAAGTTGCTGTGCAGTTTCTTAAAGGCGTTGCAGCACTAATAATAACAAAATTTAATTAGTTTATTGAAATATTTGCTACTGCAATTTGGCTTAAATGACTAAGATATTTTAAATAAACAACATTCTCTTGAATAGTTACTTTTCTAAATCACCTACAATTACATTCAAAGTCTGTGTGTCAAATGATACATCAGGACAGAGGATCCTTATAGAAAAATATGGCAACAATTATCATTCATATATTCGTATTACTGGGCTGCTTTTCTTTTTATAAACCAAAATTATGATAAGGTGAGAACATTTTATCATCACTCTGCATATTTGTGGAACTCTTACACCAACCTATTTTTCCCCACACTAAAGGAGTAACTTTGTAAGTCAGAGTGACAGAGACCAATGGTGTATGTATATATGCACACCACCTCTGGTAAATATATTAATGTTCTATTTTTATATAAATATACTACAATGGTCCAGCTTGCTATTACAGTGAAATTACACAGTCACGTAGACGACTGCATAATTTATATTGCTGCATAAATGGTTCTAGTTCTTGTGTTGTGAAGATAGTTTTCTGACTGTGAACTGTGTGGAAACTGATGCTGTGATATCTGCAAGAACGTTCGGACAGCGTGAAACTCAAGCCTGGACGTTTTTACTGTCTCTTTCGTTTTGGTGAGGATTAGACTCTTGACATGTAGTGGAGTAGAATTTGTTGGAATAGTTCAGGGCTTCCAAGACTTGCTGAAGTGATGATGAAATCTATGGCTGGAGGTTTTTCTGTCATATAGTTGGGTGGTCAGCTGTAGTGTGACAGAAATGGTCTCAGTTTTTTATTTGTGAGTTGGACATCTGCCAATCATTTGGCTAAAAGAGGAGTCAGAGGACCCTTGGGAAAGAGAAATGTTCCAGCAGTCCGGAGGTTGTGCGTCTTCTGCATCCAGCCCCATACAGATGGTGACTGCAGTAGATGATTAGTCCTTTGTAACGTATCCTCAGCAGGATGCAAAATCCTCCCAAGTTATGTATATGTATGTATAGGTATATTCTGTACCCAAATACGTGTATTACAAACATAAGTAATGTATATACATGTGCCGAGTATAGTTTGGCACATTGACATTCTGATCTGGATGGAGATTTTTATTATGTGTAGTTCTCTAAGTCCAAAGTATTCAGATCCGGGTCTTGACCAGCAATGAAATTATGAATTTTCGTTTAGGTACGTGTTGTGACTTTGAACATTTTGGAGCCAAATTTACTGGCTGAGGCCTTTCTTTTGCATATGATATTCATGACCCTAATAATAATGTACTTTCACTGGCTTGGTTTCAAAGATTTGTGCATTGTAGTAATTTGGGAGTTAAGAAATGTTAAAACGATGTGAGTGGCTATTTCAGTATGAATGAGTTTAGCAAAACTTACTGGCTTTAGAAAATACAACTGCTTTTCTTCTAAGATGCATCCAGAAAGCTAACAGAACTTGCCCATCCCAAAGTTTTGTAGAATCAGTCCACAAATGCCTGTTAAAATGAAACATAATTTTGATAAAGAAATCATTCCTGATTTTAGCTGTAATACCTTGCTTTGACTCTAGAGAGTATGTCTGAGGGCATTGTAGCAGTAGGTTTTTTTGTTCATACAGATTGTTTTTTAACAGGTGCTATTTTAAAATTCTATAATGAAAGTATTTATTAGCAAATAAATATAAAAACAATCTCCCTAGGGGAGGAGGGGATTGTGGTGGTAGTTGTTTTACCTTGCTTGTTACTGGCAGTGACATGATGCAGTACTATTTAATAAAATATAATTTCTGCAGGGGTGGGATTTTGAAGTCCTTGATATTAGCACTTATAATCCTGTATAGGTTAAGGAGTGAAGTAGTGCAGTGAAAATAAGTCCCAAGGGTGTAACTATAGGATACTGTTTGGTTGTGTATTGCTTGTCATGCCAACATGAAGAAGCAGGCACATTGAGAAGAATATGGTTGGAGAAATTTGAGGAATATAATTGGGGCATGGTGGTGAGACTGATGCAGAGCAGACATCTCTTCCATCTCCTCTGGTGCCTCACATCACTTTATATCACTCATTTGAAGATGTCTAGGCATTTCTTAAAAATTATTCAAGTTGGAGTTGAACCGGAGAGTGGGAATAAATTATTTGTATTGCAGAATTCCTCTGTATTTTAAAGATGCTTACATTCAATGTTAATAATGAAGCTCCTCATTTAATTCAGTATATTTCTGCTCCTTGTAACCAGCCATAAATTCTCTACAGTCTTGTATGTGCTGATACACTAGAAAATGGTGCATCTTGTTCACTGTTTCAGTATCATGGAATAGCCAGGGGAGTTCATGCAGGAGGCATTTTTACACAGGACTTTTGCCTGCAAAACAACTCCAGCAATACCAGTGTGAGGTTGCATATTTCTGTCTCATACAGTGAGAGCTAGGAAGAAACTTTTTGATGTGCCTTCAAGTGCAAACAGTTGAGTTACAGCTCAAGAAGTCCCGCTTCCCATCATCTTAGCTGTCACAGCATAGGTGCATGCTCTGAGCCTGACCCCTCTGTGAAGGAAGATGTCATAGTTCAAGGCACAACGAAAGGTCCTTCAGGTCCAGCTCAGGTGTCAGCTGGAATCCAGCAGTGCCATCTTCCACAGCATAACTTCAGTGATAGTCCTTAGATACAATGATCTTATATTTGCGATATAACATAAGAAAAGACAAAGTATATGACAGTACGGTTGGAGACCACAGTTTTTAAGAGACTGCATGCAATCTTATAAGATGCACAGAATTCCTGAGGAAGTCGATCTTGTTAGTTGGTGCTATCACAGCAGATTCAGTTTGCGACTTGTAATCTTTATGTGGGCAACTGGTGGCAGTCTGATTCCTAAATTTGCTATCTGTCACTCATTTATGACAAAACACATTGTTACCTTAGCAGTACCAGAGACCAGATCGTAATAATGTCAGTAGAAATGTGTAATGTGATATTTGCTAATAGTGTATAGCATAGCTCATGAATACTTGGCATTTTCTTCTTCCTAGTTGCTATGTAGTTTAAAGAGAATTTTCTCATTTGAGCTTGTCACTTCTGATACTGGTTCACCCTTTAATGTCTTCCAGCTTGCCACTTTAGAATTCCCTCCGAAGAAGCTCTTTGGAAACAAGGATGAACGAGTGATTGCAGAACGACGGAGTCACTTAGAGGTAATGCCAGGTTTTTAACAGGCTTCTACAGTGTATTTAGGCGGAGTACTCTCTGCTTGACCAACAGAACCATTCCCATATGGTCAAAGTTAAATAGCCTGCTTGTAAGTATGAAGTTACTTGCTGCCTCATTTAACACAGGAGATGGCAGCAGTAGATTGCAAAGTAATGAAACATGCCTTAAAAAAGAAATAAATTAATCCTAGTCTAGGAAAAAAAGCATCTCTCGAGAGATATTCATAGGAGGTACATTTATTTAAGAGGGAAAGGTTGTGGGTGAGGTAAGTGTTCACTGTAGACAGATGGTCTCTGTGCAAGACTAGATTAAAAAAAAAAAATGTTGCTACTTTAAATGCAATTTGTTAGGTGAAGATTTACTATTTTATCATAGTTACTATATGCAAATATCTAATGACAGAAGGAAAGCGATATTTAGACATCTTTGAGCTTTATTTTGTAACCCAGCTTTCTGAATGTATTCTTTCTTTCAATTAATTTTAAAAATTAATTTTATTGTGGACAAGGCTACTGAGTTTGAGGTTTTGGGTTTTTTTGCTTGTTTTGCAGTGCCATGCAGATGGCGTAGTTTTGACTCCTGTCACATATTAGGTTTTTATATTTTGATGTTAATGCATGTGTTACTGCAGCCCAGGGACAGGAGGTGGGGTTTTGGGAAAGAAGAAGAGGCATGAACAAAGACTAAACCATACACCCCATAACTGTATTGTAGCCATGTGGGGATTACCTGATCATGCCATCATTGAGAATTACATCCTTTGTAGAGCTAAAGTAACATTAAGTGGAACTTTAAAGAAATTAATATGAAAGTAGATTGCTTCCAACTGGAATCTTTTCTTGTATGTTTTGATTTTTTTTCTATGTACTTTACCTTTTCTTTGATCTACCAACAAAACATTCTCCCACTGACTTTTGATGTGAGGCTGTCTTACATGTAGCACAAGATGTAATCTATTTTTTTTTGTTTGTTTCATGTCCTCTATAGAGGGCATAAAGGCATGGCCACATTCCAGTCTAGTACTAAATTTGCATATTTTTGTACCAATAAGAAGTTTAATCCCTTGATCTTTTTGACCTTTCATTGATTTACTAACAGATTTTATTGTGATGTTTCTAAATGTTAAAACTGCTGCGTATAGTAATACAGCTGTATAGAGAGCTGAAAGTACATGATGAAAGGATCATGGTCATATAGTACTTCCAGCTCTCTATATAGACAGTTCTTAGCTTAAAATTAACTTGTTATCTATTTTAACTAAATTAAGTCATTAAAACTTTACTACTTAGATATTTTGCAAACTTAATAATATATGACCACTGTTCACATGAATATGTTTTGTCATAGGCCAGATAGTACACTTGGCCATGCCACTCAATAATCCCGACAAATCACTCGGTGTTGGAGAAACTGAAATTCCCCTGTGGCTAAGGAGAGTTAGATAAAGAGGACAAGGAGCCAAGCAACTATTAACTATCCTTGCCATGAAGAATTTGATGCAACAAGCTGATCAAAACCGCCTTATGTCTGAATCTCTAATCATAGTATTTTGTTTTCACTATATATTTTGTAGTGGCTTGCTCTGGCTTTGCAAATGGCTGGAGAGTTTCAACTAACATAGCTGCAGCGTCCTTGGTGAAGAGTGAGAGAAACCACCTAAGCAGTGGTGGTTTCCAAAGTCACATAATGCTTTGAAGGCTCAAAGCACATCTTGAGTTATACTGGGAAAGTACTTGGCAGGCAGAGAAAGTGCAATAGTGGAAGATGGCACAGGCACCAGTTCTATTTAAAATACTGGCTGTTCCTGCCTTGTGGTTTTCAATCTGGTATGAACCTTAAGCACACTTCAGCGAGCTAACCGGAAACTAGTAAATGGATGGATTCCCTCTGTAAGGGACGTGGTTTCTTGGCCTTTTGACCATAGCACGCTTGTCACGTGGGAATTCGATCAGGTCATTAGACCTTGGTAACAAGCAGAAACATGACTTGTATTCAGTTGGCTTTCATACCTGATCCTGTATGTTGATTTGCTGAAAACCCTTTGCAATCTCTTTCAAGCCTCACAGGTGATGGCGATGTTATAGCTGTGCTATGGTATAAAAGCTTATTTGATTGCTCCATATGGTTAGTCAAGAGCTAATGAGCTAATACAGCATGTTTAGAAAAAGCAAAGCACAGCTTCCAGGCCAACAAAAATGTATATTCTGATCCAATGTCTGAGCTGACTTTATTGACTAAAAATAGATGACAGCCTGACAAATATCAGTCTAAGTGTTCTGAACAATACATATTTTGTATTGTAAGATCATTAGTAGAACTGTCAATCCCGGTGGTGTATGACAAAGAAATTACTCTTCTCTTCCAGTTTTTACATTAGGTATTTATACAACTGGAATAGGCTGTGACTTCACATTGTTTTTCCTGAACTTTTTTCAGTTGGTTACTGAAATGGCTTTGCAGGCTCTTCCTTTACATCAAAACTAAATTGCAGCTCTCAGCCTGATCTGGGAAAATGAAGCAGGTAGAATTGGAGTCATTGTAGGAGCAAAACTACTCTTCCAATTAACTAAATATACAATAGTCAGAGCTGGTTCTAGTGCAGATACCTGAAGTGTTATTTTATTTGGTTTACTTTGGCTTTAGTCAGGGAAATTTTCCTTGTGCCTAATTATGAAAAGATTTGTCCAAAACATCTTTTGTGGGACAGTTGACGAAGAGTTTAGTTTTTTCCTGCACATCACCTTTTGGATTCTTGCCACAGAAGTAGTGCTGAGGACAGCAGGGGTGTTTGTGGTACCTTTCAAGACAAGTAGAATCAGGAGGGCTGGCTGTAGGGTTTGCTTTGTTTTAAGATTGTCATGTAGAGGTACTTTATTTCAGCTTGAGATGAGAAGTGGGCATATTTCATCATAACGGAGGTGAAATTACTTGGAGCAAAAGACTCCAGAGAGCCCCAGTTGAGGCTTGTGATTTAAAATTACTATAAATGCAAAGTTTATGTAAAACATTAAGTTCTTTTATTTATCCTAGCTGATACAAATACTTAATAACCAAAAGCTTCACAATACCTTCGTGGTAGGAAAGCACATTACGTGTACTATTTTTGTGAGAGATCAACCTGAGAAATCTTTGATCTCTAGTGTCATATGCAGTTGCAATGTAAACACTTTTGCTTTGGTGTTTGTTGGAATAATATGAAGTCTTTTGAGCAATATCTTACATTTCCATAGAGGTTTGGAAAAATAACATGCAAGTTTGCACAAAGGTTTGGCCTATACATCTTAAGAGAAAACACCTAAATTGTATTTAAAATTACCTATCCAAAATGCCCTATTGCAATCTATTAATTTAGTATTTCTTCAGGGACCTGTTGCAGGGCAAAACTCTAAATTAATTGTTCCGCAGTCTAAAGACTGTAATTTCACTTCAGAGCCAAGCTTGCTTGATTAAATCCACCTTAAATGAAACAGCCAAGAATTCTTTTGATTAAAGTTAATGAATAGAACTTAGTGTGTATCTATCCTTTCATGCAATTAGAAATCAGTAGATAAGAGTATAGGAGCCTTTTTAAAATGAAATCAGATGATGTATATACTTTTTTATTTTTTTTAAGCAAAAACGTTGTAAAGGAAACACATGTCATAAGAGATTGGTCATTCACATTCAGTGACTGTATCTGTTCCTGTTGTAACTGCAAAATATCTTTTATTCCTTGCTGAGTTGCTAGATCTGTGGATGACAGTAAAAAGTTGTTTTCCTGAAATCCCAGCTTCTTTAGATACTGCATTTCTGTATCAGATCATTCCCCTGATTATTTTTCTTCTTCTCTTAGACTCATGCTTTGCTGCATTAATGGAGAGGATGATTAGCCTCAGTTTCCCATTGTGCAGCCAGAAAAACTAGGCAGGAGTCTAAGCTGACATGGAGGTTGAGTCGTGTTTCCTAACTCCTTGGTCAGAAGCCTTGCAGTCATGGACCACCTGGACTTTATTTTTCACTCTTCCTGTCACCAGTGTGCTTAGGAAAAAACAGTTGTGACGCTGACAAAATCCCAACACGTTGTTGCTTAAAGGAAGACAAAAACTTCTCCAAACCTTAGTCTGTCTCCTTGTTTCTGTTCCCCGTTTCCCATTCCCTGTTCCCAATGCTGCATTTCCTCAGGTTTGGTTGTGGACAGCAAAGGGGAACAAGCAAAATCCCCAATTGGGTATGCACCACCAAGACAGCTCAGCGGTTGGTAGGAGTCCTGTGTTTCCTTTTGCTGTTGCTTACAGAGGTCAGGGAATGAAAACAAAGTCAACGTGTAACAGTGTGGTAAGGTGAGCCTATGTCAAGTTTTGTAGGAGCACATACATCTTCCTGGCATTGTCCCTGCTCTTCTTTTTTTCTTGGTACTTCAAACCTCTTTAAAAGATAGACACGCTCAATTTATTTAAAATTAATAATACAATTGTCCTTAACCTTCTCACTTCCTGATGTGTGCTGATGAGGTTTCCAATGATAGGTGTTAATGCAAGAGGCAGAAATAAATCTTGTATGAACTGCATAATTCAATTTTACTCTCAAATCTGTAGAACTGGCTGGGGAAAGCATCATAGACACTGAACTGACTGAAATATTGCTGTTCCCTACGGTCAAAATTAAGCTTCCAAAATAAGATTCTTTATCTTAGAAGCCAAATGCTTTGTTTTGTTTTTAGTTTGTATTCTCACTTGAGTTCCTTTGGAGGTGGTGGTTTCCAGGGTATTTCTTTGGTATAGGACTCTAAAGCTAGCCACTCTGGCTTTCCCCTTTAAAAATGAGATTCTGCTGGTTTTACATGGCTCCAAGAATCTGGTTCATAAGGAAAACATGGAATAATGAAAATAGCACCTTTCCTTGAACTGGAATTCATTCTTATTATTTAAATGTGTTATTAGTTGCAGATTTAACACTTCAGTGACAATAAGCCAAAGGGGGGAAAAAAAAAAAAAAAGAGAGGAAA